CCTCCCAGTCGCTCCCAGGCCCCCCCAGTGGCTCCCAGTCCCTCCCAGTGTGCCCAGTACAGGGTCTCCAGTCTCTCCCAGTCCCTCCCAGTCCCTCCCAGTGCTCCCAGTCTGACCAGTACGCGCAGATGACGAAGATGCTGGACCTGCTGGAGGATTTCCTGGACTACGAGGGCTACAAGTACGAGCGCATCGACGGCGGCATCACCGGGGCCCTGCGGCAGGAGGCCATCGACCGCTTCAACGGTAGGGACAGGGGACGGGGACAGGGACAGGGACAGGGGATGGAGACAGGGGGAGTTCAGGTGTCCTGGGGAATTCAGGTGTTTTTGGGGTGGTTTTGGGTGCTTTGGGTCCGTCACTGACGCCGGGGGGGCAGCGCCGGGGGCGCAGCAGTTCTGTTTCCTGCTGTCGACGCGGGCCGGGGGCCTCGGCATCAACCTGGCGACGGCCGACACCGTGGTCATCTTCGACTCGGACTGGAACCCCCACAACGACATCCAGGTGGGCACCTGGGCACTGTCACCCGGCCAGTGTCACCTGTGCAGTGCCATCCCCTGGCACTGTCACCCGGCCAGTGTCACCTGTGCAGTGCCATCCCCAGCACTGTCACCTGGGCAGTGCCGCCTGTGCAGTGCCATCCCCAGCACTGGGCACCTGGGCACTGTCACCTGTGCAGTGTCACCTGTGCAATGCCATCCCCTGGCACTGGGCACCTGGGCACTGTCACCCGGCCAGTGTCACCTGTGCAGTGCCATCCCCAGCACTGTCACCTGGGCACTGTCACCCGGCCAGTGTCACCTGTGCAGTGCCACCTGTGCAGTGCCATCCCCAGCACTGGGCACCTGGGCACTGTCACCTGTGCAGTATCACCTGTGCAATGCCATCCCCTGGCACTGGGCACCTGGGCACTGTCACCCGGCCAGTGTCACCTGTGCAGTATCACCTGTGCAGTGCCATCCCCAGCACTGGGCACCTGGGCACTGTCACCTGTGCAGTATCACCTGTGCAATGCCATCCCCTGGCACTGGGCACCTGGGCACTGTCACCCGGCCAGTGTCACCTGTGCAGTGCCACCTGTGCAGTGCCATCCCCAGCACTGGGCACCTGGCCAGTGCCACCTGTGCAGTGTCACCCTCCGTAGCTCCTTGTCTCTCCTGATTGCCAAGTCCCTGAGGTGTCCCCAGGATGTCCCCACGATGTCCCCTCCCTGTCAGGCCATGTGACACATCCCTGGTGTGTCTCCATCCCATGTGACATGTCCCTGGTGTGTCCCCACAATGTCTCTGACCTGTCCCCTCCCTGTCAGGCCTTCAGCCGCACTCACCACATCAGCCAGGGTGTCCCCTCATATCCTTGGGGTGTCCCCCATCCCATGTGACATGTCCCTGGTGTGTCCCCGTCCCATGTGACATGTCCCTGGTGTGTTCCCATGCCATTTGACATGTGCCTGGTGTGTCCCCGTGCCATGTAACATGTCCCTGGTGTGTCCCCATCCCATCTGACGTGTCCCTGGTGTGTCCCCGTCCCATCTGACATGTTCCTGGTGTGTCCCCATCCCATGTGACACATCCCTGGTGTGTCCCCATCCTATGTGACATGTCCCTGCTGTGTCCCCATCCCATCTGACACATCCCTGCTGTGTCCCCATGCCATGTGACGTGTCCCTGGTGTGTCCCCATCCCATGTGATGTGTCCCCTCATGTCCCTGGTGTGTCCCCATCCCATGTGACGTGTCCCCTCATGTCCCCACGATGTCCCTGACCTGTGCCCTCCCTGCCAGGCCTTCAGCCGCGCTCACCGCATCGGCCAGGCCAACAAGGTGATGATTTACCGCTTCGTGACGCGGGCCTCGGTGGAGGAGCGGATCACGCAGGTGGCCAAGCGCAAGATGATGCTGACGCACCTGGTGGTGCGCCCGGGGCTGGGCTCCAAGGCCGGCTCCATGTCCAAGCAGGAGCTCGACGACATCCTCAAGTTCGGCACCGAGGAGCTCTTCAAGGACGAGAACGAGGGTGGGCCCCGCGCGGCACGGGCTGGGACGGGCCATGTTGGGCTGGACTGGGCTGAGCTGGGCTGGGGTGGGCTGTGCTGGGTTGGACTGGGCTGTGCTGGGTTGGACTGGGCTGTGCTGGGTTGGACTGGGCTGTGCTGGGTTGGACTGGGCTGTGCTGGGTTGGACTGGGCTGTGCTGGGTTGGACTGGGCTGTGCTGGGTTGGACTGGGCTGTGCTGGGTTGGACTGGGCTGTGCTGGGTTGGACTGGGCTGTGCTGGGTTGGACTGGGCTGTGCTGGGTTGGACTGGGCTGTGCTGGGTTGGACTGGGCTGTGCTGGGTTGGACTGGGCTGTGCTGGGTTGGACTGGGCTGTGCTGGGTTGGACTGGGCTGTGCTGGGTTGGACTGGGCTGTGCTGGGTTGGACTGGGCTGTGCTGGGTTGGACTGGGCTGTGCTGGGTTGGACTGGGCTGTGCTGGGTTGGACTGGGCTGTGCTGGGTTGGACTGGGCTGTGCTGGGTTGGACTGGGCTGTGCTGGGTTGGACTGGGCTGTGCTGGGTTGGACTGGGCTGTGATGGGTTGGACTGGGTCATGTTGGGTTGTATTGGGTTGTGCCAGGCTGGACTGGGTCGTGTTGGGTTGGACTGGGTCGTGTTGGGTTGGACTGGGCTGTGCTGGGCTGGACTGGGCTGTGCTGGGTTGGACTAGGTTGTGCCAGGCTGGACTGGATCATGTTGGGTTGGACTGGGCTGAGCTGGGCTGCACTGGGCTGAGCTGGGTTGTATTGGGTTGGACTGGGCTGAGCTGGGTTGGACTGGGCTGAGCTAGGTTAGAGTGAGCTGAGCTGGGCTGGACTGGGCTGTGTTGGGCTGTGTTGGGTTGGACTGGTTTGGACTGGGCTGTGCTGGGTTGGACTGGGCTGTGTTGGGCTGGACTGGGTCATGTTGGGTTGTGTTGGGTTGGACGGGGCCATGCTGGGCTGGACTGGGCCATGTCGGGCCATGTTAGGTGTGACAAAGCCGTGTCACATCACCTTGGAGCGCGTCCGGCCATGTCCCACTCCGTGTGGCCCTGTCCGGCCGTGTCCCACTCCGTGTGGCCCTGTCCGGCCGTGTCCCAGCGCGTGTGACACGGCGTGGCCACGCAGGGGACAACAAGGAGGAGGACAGCAGCGTCATCCACTACGACAACGAGGCCATCGCGCGGCTGCTGGACCGCAACCAGGACGCCACCGACGACGCCGACGTGCAGAACATGAACGAGTACCTGAGCTCCTTCAAGGTGGCCCAGTACGTCGTCAGGGAGGAGGACAAGGTGTGCTGGGGACACCGGGGACACCAGGGACATGAGGGGACACTGGGGGGACACAGGCATGGAGGGGATAGAGGGATGTTGAGTGGTGGAGGACATGGGGACATTGGAGAGGGAAGTGATGGGGACAGTGGGATGGGGACAGTGGGACAGGGACAGTGACATGGGAACAGGGGAATGGGGACAGTGGGATTGGGGACAATGGGATGGGGACAATGGGATGATGGAGCTGGGCACTCTGGAGAGGATGGAGATGATGGGGACAGTGAGGATGATGATGGAGATGATGAAAATCGTGAAGATGAGAACAGTGGAGACAGAGATGATGATGGAGATGGGGATGATGATGAGGATGATGATGATGATGAAAATTATGAAGATGGGAATGGTGGAGACAGAGATGATGATGATGGAGATGGGGATGGTGATGATGCTGATGCTGGAGATGATGATGATGGTGATGCTGGAGACACCAAGGACAGGGGCACTGGTGCTGACAACTGGGTGACCCCAGATGGTCCTGGGTGACCCTGGGTGACCCCGAGTGACCCCCCGAGTGTCCGGCAGATCGAGGAGATCGAGCGGGAGATCATCAAGCAGGAGGAGAACGTGGACCCCGACTACTGGGAGAAGCTGCTGCGGCACCACTACGAGCAGCAGCAGGAGGACCTGGCCCGCAACCTGGGCAAGGGCAAGCGCGTGCACAAGCAGGGCAGCTACAACACCGCCGCCCAGGAGGACCAAGGTGGGCAACTGGGACAGACTGGGATGGCACTGGGGGCACTGGGATGGGACTGGGAGGGACTGGGATGGGACTGGGACACGCTGGGATGGCACTGGGATGGCACTGGGACACACTGGGAGGGACTGGGATAGAGCCTGGGCAAGGGCAAGCGCGTGCACAAGCAGGGCAGCTACAACGCTGCCGCCCAGGAGGACCAAGGTGGGCACTGGGGGCACTGGGATGGCACTGGGGGCACTGGGACACACTGGGGTGGCACTGAGTGTCCCCAACGCTGCTGTGTCCCCCAGATAACCAGTCCGAGTACTCGGTGGGCTCCGAGGAGGAGGACGAGGACTTCGACGAGCGGCCCGAGGGTGAGGGGACCCCCGGGGGGGTCAGGGTGTCCCCGGGGGGGTCAGGGTGTCCCCAAGGGGGGTCAGGGTGTCCCCAGGGGTGTATGAGGATGAGGGCCTTTGGGGACAGGGACCTTGGGGACAAAGACCCCGGGGACAGGATCTGTGGGGACAGTGACCCCGGGGCAGGGCGTGCAGGTGAGGGGACAGTGGCACAGGTGGTGGCAGTGGCACAGGTGGTGGCACAGGCAGAGGTGGTGGCACAGGCGGTGGCAGTGGCATAGGCAGGGATGGTGGCACGGGTGGTGGCACAGGGGTGGTGGCACAGGCGTGGGCGGTGGCACAAGGGTGGTGGCATGGACAGTGTCAGTGGCACAGGCAGGGGGTGGTGACACAGGGGGTAGTGCCACGGGCGGTGGCACTGGCAGGGAGCAGTGGCACAGCAGGGGTGGTGGCACAGGCAGTGACACAGGGGCAGTGGCACAGGCAGGGGGCAGTGGCACAGGGGTGGTGGTGCAGGGGTGGTGGGGGGTGCCGTGGGGGTGCTGACTGACCCCTCCCCTCCCCCAGGCCGGCGTCAGTCCAAGCGGCAGCTGCGGAACGAGAAGGACAAACCCCTCCCCCCACTGCTGGCCCGGGTGGGCGGCAACATCGAGGTGAGGGGACACGGGGACATCCCTGGGGCTTGGGGACACCCCGGGGGACTTGGGGACACCCCGGGGCTTGGGGACACCCCGGGGGGCTTGGGGACACCCCTGGAGCTTGGGGACATCCCCGGGGCTTGGGGACACCCCGTGGGGCTTGGGGACACCCCTGGAGCTTGGGGACATCCCCGGGGCTTGGGGACACTCTGGGGGCTTGGGGACATCCCCAGGGCTTGGGGACACCTCAGGGGTTTGGGGACAGCCTGGGGGCTTGGGGACAGCCCGAGGCCACCTGGGTCACCTCCAGGTGGGGGTCAGGGGGTGCTCGGACACCCGAGTGACCCCTCAGCACCTGGGTCCCCAAACCAGAGGGTCAGGGGTCACCTGGAGCCCGCTGTGCCCCTGGCTGGGGACAAGGCACGGGGGGCTCCGGACAGACAGTGTCCCCAGTGTCCCCTCAATGTCCCCAGTGTCCCCTCGATGTCCCCAGTGTCCCCTGTGTCCCCAGGTGCTGGGGTTCAACACGAGGCAGCGCAAGGCCTTCCTGAACGCCGTCATGCGCTGGGGGATGCCCCCCCAGGACGCCTTCACGTCCCAGTGGCTCGTGCGGGACCTGCGGGGCAAAACCGAGAAGGAGTTCAAGTAGGTGACACCGGGGACACCTGGGGACACCTGGGGACACCTGGGAGGGGTGCTGGCACTGGGGAGGGGCGGCGGTGTCAAGGGTGGGCGGTGGCTTCAGGGACAGGCGGTGTCAAGGACAGGTGGTGGCATCAGAAGCAAACGGTGGCATCAGGGACAGGTGGTGGCGTCAGGGACAGGTGGCATTGGGGACAGGCAGTGGCATTGGGGACAGGCGGTGGCATCAGGGACAGGTGGTGTCAAGGACAGGTGGCATTGGGGACGGGTGGTGGCATTGGGGACAGGCGGTGGCATAAGGGACAGGTGGTGTCAAGGACAGGCGGTGGCATTGGGGACAGGTGGTGGCATCAGTGACAGGCGGTGTCAAGGACAGGTGGTGGCACTGGGGACAAGCGGTGGCACCAGGGACAGGTGGTGGCAGGGTAGTGAGGTGTCCGTGTGTCCCCATGTCCTTATTGTCCCCATGTCCCCTCATCTCCCTGTGTGTCCCGTGCCCTCCACTGTCCCATGTCCCCCGGTGTCCCCCGATGTCCCCCGGGTCCCCGATGTCCCCCGGTGTCCCCGTGCCACGTGATGAGCCCTTACTCAGCCGAGCGCCGTCGCTGTCGGTGTTCCTGGGGACCGGACGAGGCCGTGTCCCCCTCAGCCCGACACAAAGCCACCCCCGATGTCCCCGTGTCCCCTCGGGGGGCCGGGAGTGGCCCAGGGGACGCCAGAGCGGTGGCAGGTCCCTGCCGTGACCGGCACAGCCCCCACGGGCGCCGTGACGAGGGGACGGGCTGATGGTGCGGGGACATCGGGGACACCGGGGACATCGGGGACATTGGGGACATCGGGGACATCGGAGACATCAGGGTCACTGGGGACAGCGGGGACATTGGGGACACCAGGGACACTGGGGACATCGGGGACATCGGGGACCCTGAGCGCTGTCCCCAGGGCCTACGTGTCCCTGTTCATGCGTCACCTGTGCGAGCCGGGCGCCGACGGCTCCGAGACCTTCGCGGACGGCGTCCCCCGCGAGGGGCTGTCCCGGCAGCAGGTGCTGACCCGCATCGGCGTCATGTCCCTCGTCAAGAAAAAGGTACCTGGGGACACCTGGGGACAGGCTAGGGACGGCCTGGGGACAGGCTGAACACCTGGGGACACCTGGGGACAGCCTGGGACAGCCTGGGGACAGGCTGAATACCTGGGGACACACCTGGGGACATCCCCAGCACTCCTGGGGACACAGCTGGGGACAGGCTGAACACCCGGGGACATCCCTGAACACCTGGGGACATCCCTGGGGACAGCCTAGGAACAGGCTGAATACCCGGGGACACACCTGGGGACACCTGGGGACTCATTTGGCTCCGTTTTTGGAGTCCCCCCAAACTGTTCCTCTGGGAGCCTTTTAGGGTCCCTTTCTGGGGGTTTTGGGGGTTGGTTTTTAAGGTTTTTGGGGTCAGTTTTTAGGAGTTTTGAGTCAGTTTTTTGGGTCTTTGGGATTGGTTTTTGGGGTCCCCTGAGCCCATGGTGCCCCCTCAGGTGCAGGAGTTCAAGCACATCAACGGCCGCTGGTCCCTGCCCGAGCTGGCCGTGGGGAGGTTTTAGGGTCCCTTGGGCAGGTTTTTGGGGTGGGTTTTTGGGGATTTTAGGGTTTTTGGGGTCCCCTGAGCCCATGGTGCCCCCCAGGTGCAGGAGTTCGAGCACATCAACGGCCGCTGGTCCCTGCCCGAGCTGGCCCCCGAGCCCAGCGCCGACTCCAAGCGCTCGTCCCGCGCCTCCTCCCCCGCCAAGACCGGCCCCCCCAGCCCCGAGCAGAGCGGCCCCCCCAGCCCCGCGCCCCCCACGCCCGGGTCAG